AAAGTAGAACAGGTCTAAAGAAAACGCCTAGACAAAACAGCTGTTCAATGACATGATGGAAATGAAAAATCAAAAAGTAAACAACAATTATTATCATAACCTCAGATTATTTACTTATCAATTAGATTTGCAAACAGAGATGATGAAAAAATCTCTCCTTTTCCTAAGATTCTAATCAACAGCGGGCCCTGCCGTACTGAATCAAACCTTCCTAGATCAATCAACAAAACTTGCAAACCTGCACAAAAAACTTTCAGTAGAAGGCAGTAATCAAGGTAACAAAATCTGGGCACAGAAAAGACAGTTGTTTATTCATTTATTTCATTGTAGTTCTATATAGAATCGTATCTACTAGAGCAAAACACAGTAGCATATAAACAAGAAATTGAAAATGCTACAGCATATCCGGATACCCCGTGAACTTTGATTTTTATATATATAGATTTAATAATTTTGGCTTTGCCTTTTCGGCATCCAGGAAGTGACTGATATCTAAAGTCAGTTTCACTCTTTGAACAGTAATAATTGTAAATAGTTGAAAATAAGTGTAAATATAGTGTCATTCAGTGTACCTACGCCTTTGATTTATCACCATTCCAAACCAAACGCCAAATTTTAACACAGTCCACTATCTTTATGTGTAAAGTAGCGCACACATTGTGACAAATTACACCCCACTCAACTATATATTTACCTTTAAAAAAAACAGAAAGTGAACTTGAAATAAAAATTCACCGTTATGTCATTGCATTTACAACCTGATTTCCTTTGTTTATTTACTTACTCTTCACAAACACTGATTACTCAGTAATTACATGTAAAGGAAAAAATAGAATACAATTACGGAAAAAAAAAAAACAACAACAAATACTCCATAAGGAAATACAAACAGTAAAAAAACTGAAAACTCAAAAATTATACACAAATGCCAGAAAGCTATATGTCCTGATGCAACACATCCAGTATTTCTTTATGGCTCGTTCTAAAGAAATCAAAAAACTCATTTTCATTCAACATTTCATTACAATAGGCTAGGATATTATTAATAGGCGATGTACCATTGACTGCAACATCAAAAATTTCTTTGGTTAAAATTCTAAGTCTAATCTTTGGTACCTTGAAATTCACAAATTGGATCAGATCACATTTCTTGTATTTGATATTATTTAAAATATAATAGATATATATCACAGCCTGATTTTTTCTTCTTGTATATAAACTTGTAAATTCGAAGGTTTCAAGCATGGATCTATAAGACACCATGTAAGGGTATGCATTGTTCCTTCTTACATACAGATACCTTAAAAATCTTTTTTGTATTTTCTCTATGAGACACATGGGGCCTCACAAGTGCGTTGTACAATCTCACGATAGTATTTATTTCAAAATTCTTACTGTTACGTATTACAAATCCCAGTGCCCGAAAAGCCTTACTAGTTAAGTAGCTGTAATGTTTGTTGAATTTCAAGTTCATTTGAAAGTTGACACCAAGATCCTTCACTTCAGTTTTTCTTTCGATCTTCACACCACCTATATTATAATCTTCAATAAAATAATTCACCCTACGAGTGAAAGATACAACCATACATTTTTTAATATTGAGAGACATCCTGTTCTCAGTAAACCACCGCAGGACAGAGTCAAGATCCCTCTGCAATTTCATGCAATCATTTTCATGAGAGATTTGCCTGAATAATTTAAAATCATCTGCATAAAGCAAACTTGTGGATGCTTGAACACAGCTAGGAAGATCATTTATGAATAATATGAAAAGGAGGGGACCCAAATTGCTTCCTTGGGGTACACCTGATGTAGCAGAGTATTGGTCAGATCTAGACCGCCCAACTTTGACTATCTGTTGCCTATCCTCTAAATATGACCTCATTAAATTAAATGCGCTCCGTGAAAAATCAAAATCAATCAGTTTTCCCAGAAGCCTGCAGTGGTCTACCTTGTCAAAAGCCTTAGCACAGTCTGTATATACGACATCCAACTGCTCTTTATTTTCTATTGCTTGGGATGCATACTCTGTAAATAAACTCAAATTTGAAATTGTTGACCTATCATAAACAAATCCATGTTGGTCCATCGTAATTTTATGTTTAACATGTTGATAAATATCACTATACAAAATACATTCAAAAATTTTTGATAATGTATTTAATAGACTTATAGGTCGGTAATTTTCAATGTCATTTTTTTTCCCACTTTTATGAATAGGGGAAACTATGGCTGTTTTCAAGTCACCTGGAAAACACTCTTGTTTGATAGCTAAATTAAAAATATATACCAAGGGTTCTGATAAAAAATCCACACATCCCTTATAAATATAAGATGGGATTTCATCAATACCTGTTGACCTCTTAGACTTCAAATCTTTTATGCTTTTTCTAACCTCTATCTCAGTTATCTCTGAAAAACAGAAATCGCCATAACCATTGCCTCCGTGACCACAATTAGAGCAGCTAGATGTCCCATACACAGACCCAAAATAACTTGCAAATGCATTTGCAATGCCAACCGGATCACTAAAACTCTCATCACCCAACCTCATTTCCGTTGGCATTCCACTTTGATTTCTCTTAGACTGAACAAAAGCCCAAAAACTGCGGGGGTCATTATTAATATTTCTTTCCAGCGAACTCTTATATGAGTTGTACTCAGCTGTGCTTTGAGTTCTAACAGATCGCCTCAAAAAAACATACTCTAAATGTTCATCAGTATTAGCATTACCTCTGTTTACACAACGGTGCAAACGATGTTTCCTCTTTATTTTATGAATTAAATCAGTGGAGAACCAAACTGGAAACTTGGCGCAGCCTGTGACCTCTTTCAGCTGTATCTTTGGAATAGATGCATCTATACATCTGTAAATATTCTTATAAAATAAACCTACCGCACAGTTAACATCTCTGGCTGCAAGTAAATCGGACCAGCTACACTGTTTAAGCATTTCATACAGCAATAGAAAGTTACCCTTCGAATAATTGTATGTATATGCTTTTTTAATTTGTGTTTCGTTTTTCATTTCATTAAAAACAACTTTTATTATCAATGAAGGATGATAGGGGTCTTCCTTGATCAGTGGGCTGTCCGATCCACCAACAACAGATAAAGCCATGTTAGACAGTACAAAATCTAAAAATCTATTCATAAAATTTGGTATCGTATTAAGTTGCCTCAAATCATACATACTTGAAAATTGTTGCATCAGAACATCTCTCTCACCATTTGGACCCTGTGTTTGATTAAAGTGTGGCAAATTAAAATCTCCTAAAATAACAACATTAAAATTATTTAACAATAATAAGTCTTCAAACATGTTTAAAAAACTCTCAAATTCATCAACAGTGGCATTAGGTGTAAAGTACACAACAGAAATATAAATAAAACATTTTTTTAACCTTACTTTAACAATAACACAGTCAATATCACAGTTTGTATCGATCTCTTCGTAGGATATCTCTTTTTTTAAGGCAATAAGGGCTCCACCACCCCTGGTTTGTCCATTTGAGCGATCTTTTCTCACCACTACATATCTCTGATCAAACATTTCAGAATTTAAAATTCCATCTGCTAACCAGGTTTCTGTAAAAGCAATAATATCATAATTTTCTGTTAATATGTTTGAGTAGAGATCTTCAGTTTTTGTTCTGAGACCCCGCACATTTTGATAGTAAATCAACAACTGCTTTTGTTTCTTGGGAGTACTTATTGCTGAGCACTCTCTCTGAGAGGATCTGCTTCTAGCAGCATCCTCCTTTTTACAAAAAACCGGGATACCAAAGCCCCATTGGGCCACACCTCCCTTCTCCAAGCCTTTCTGAAATTTTCCTGACTAATTGTGACTTTCATGGAAGCATATATTTCTGGGTGTTTTGATTGATGCGCTTCACACGTAACCTCTGGAAAGCCTGCAACAAGTAGTTGTTGCAAATCTTGAGGAGACGTATTTGGCGCCAAACGAGATACATGAAGAGATATTTGCTTTGGGACGGCTTGTATATTCATTTGCTCATTACCTCTGCCCACAACAAACCTGCGATGTCTGTTTTCTCTTCTATTTTTAACTTTTTGCCAGCCACCTTCATCCTCGCCAACATTTGACTCAATATGCTGCAGATCATTCATAATTTGAGCTTGTTGTGCTTGAAGTACTGCATTTCCAATTGTTTTTTTATCAAAGATGATTTTATTATTATTTTGTTTCTGTGAGGTATTATTGACAGTGACAGATGACTGCCCAGACGTCGAACGCAATTTCGAAGACGCACTGGTATTCCGTGATTCGCTACTTTGCTCGATTTGGCTTGGTGCATGATTCGAGTTCCGCGTGCAATCCGGTTTGCTGCTTGCCGATGCCGATAAAGTAGATCCCTGTAGATCAGGGGGACGCTGATCATTGTTTGTTTTCCACACCTGATGATGACCTTTTTGCCCTTGACAATTGTTTATGATTTGTTTTTCTTCTAAAGATTGTATAACGACTTTTTGAAGCTTACTTGTGTATTCTAACTCTCCAATGAGCCTTTGGGATAGCTGTTTTTCACGATTGAGACATTCTATTTCCTTTTCCAGCACTGAAATATTGCCATCTGTTCTTACGTTTTCACTTGTTGCGGCTTGCCAATCATCTTTGCAGGCATTACAAAACCAGAAAATGTTTGGACTGTCCGCGATTATTTTTAGCCATGAGTCCTTTACGCTCACACACATCAAATGGAACTTTAAGCTACACTTATAACATTTAATAGACTTAGAATTTACGATAAAATTGTCAGCACAAATTGAGCACTCAACCGTATCGGCGGCCATCTTGTCTGTCCGATTGTTTACTAATACTCTCATTATTATTTTATAATCAATAATGTATTTTGTTTTGTTGCAGGTGAGAGTTATAGTTGGACTTCTTCTAATTGCCACCGCGGCATTGGTCTTTCCATTAACAGTGAAGAACCGAAACCTTAAGAGCTAAGCATGATATCGTTAAATCCCTTCAGCAAGATTCAGTTGAAAACTCTGGCTCCAGCTCAGAAGCGTCTGCAGAAAGTGCCGAGAAAGCAACTGAGCCGGCTGAAGCGGTTGAAGAAAGAGCCCCTTTGGCCCCTGTTTCATGGAACCTTCCAAGCTGAAGCGCGAAAGGAAGAAAAGAAAATCGATAAACCTCAACCAGAAAAGCCGCAACCATAATTGAAAAACGTGAGAAATCGAAATAAGCAGTTGCAAACAAGACACCTGGAGCGGCGCTACCTACGCTTAAAAAAGTTGAATTCGATGCTGTGCCCCAATTGAAATCCCTTCCAGCTGAACCTGGGAAGATTGCTGGAGAAACCCCAGCCAAAATCTAAGAAAAAATTGCTGAAAACGCTTCTTCGGCTCCTGAACAGAAACCCTTGACCTTGCCAGCTCCAGTCGGAAAAATTGCAGAAAAATCTGCCGCAGCTTCAGGACATAGGGAGGAAATATTTGCCAAAACCGAGCGAGCAAAAGGTAGAGCTTCCAGCCAGTGTAGAAGAAAAACTACCTGAGTTCAAAACAGTCCTCCCAGAAAAAAGGAAAGACAGCTTCGTCAAACTAATATACGAAAAGAAAGCTAAATCCGATAAAAAAGCACAAGAACAAACATTGCCTGCTTCAGAGGAACCAAAACCAGCAACCGCTAAAGAAGCCGAACCAGCTACTTCAGAACAATTTACTTCATCTAAAGCGCCTCTTGTTCTCCGTGCTGTTGCAGAGCCAGCAAAAGAAGAAAACCCAGTAAAAAAAGCAACGGAAGGAAAGACTGCTGAACCAGAAGCTCTGCCTCAACCTGCTGCAGTACCTGCAGCTAAACCTCTCGAAAAACCAAAATAAGAACAGAAATTGGAAGCTCAACCTGACAAGCCAGCAGCGAGCGCACCAAGTTTCTGAATTAATGAGAAACAAACTGAATCCAGTGTGAAGAAAATTATTGACTGATGGTTTTTTTTTTTGTTGAGGTTTGCTTGCCACCATGTTCCAAACCTACACTTAATTAATTTTTATTTTTTTGATTGAACATTTGGGCTAACCGAACCTTCCCGTTTTCATTTTCTTTGGAAACACTAATTAATAATTAATTCGAGAGTTCTTTGCTCAACAATAATAACTATTAAGAGTAGGGATTTTGTTTTTTCTAAAATTATTTTTTTTCTCTGTTTTTTATTTTTATTATTTTTTTTCAAATTTGATTTGTGAATAATTTGTCGCCATAACTGCGTTAAAATTTCATACATGTTTCAAAGTATGGATTTCAATTCGCTTTTCCCTTTCTACAGTTTCGGTGGTTATTTAATAATTTTTTCTTGGGTTCAGTTTTACTTTTATTGTATATTTAAAGCTTTTCAATAAAACTTTATACATAAACATTCCACGTTTTATTTTTATTATTCAAATATAAATCAGTATATGTAATATGGGGGTAGACCTTGCGCTGACCTACTTTCCATGACATACTTTCACTTTGATTCCGCCCGCAGACCGCCCGCCTCATAAATTCCACCATTACTTGGTCACCACTAAAACCACTTTTTTCATCACCTAATATGACTTAAGAACCGCCTTTATCGGCTTCTATAGTTTATTTGGGGGCTTCACTGCTTTCAGTTTATCAAGTCTGGGTATTCGTACACTATGTCTAAGCAAGCCCAACTCACTTTTTTTCAGAGAGGAAGTATATTTTTTTCGTCTGACTTTCGTAGGGGATATTTAATATCTCGAACTGAGGTAAATTTTAGCAATAGTTCGATTTTTTTTTAGGTGCAGTGAATTTGTGAAGTACCTAATAAAATGTCGAAACGAGTTGTCTGTTTCACTTCGAAAAAAGTTTCCATGTCATTATTAGACAAAACAATAAGTTCAATGTATGAAGATGAAGACTTGGTATTCAATGAAGATCAGGATAACCAATTAGCACAGAGAAGCAATATTTTAGTGAGCATAGACAGAAAACAACACACGTGAGGAAGATGAAGATTCAGAAGACGAAGAAATTTTCATGGATCAAGTGGACGACCAATAATGTGGGGAAAAGGCAGATGTGATTATAAAAAAAATAAATGCAAATGAGACATGTAATCAAAATTATCTCAGTAAACAAATATGTGCCGTCCAGTCCTACGTAGTCATTGACTCAATGTATGGAGGATTATTTAGTATATGCTTCGCTTGCCACTATCAACATGGTCTTGAATTCCCCATAGGAAAACATACATTTGTCAACACCCACTACCAAAAAGCGTTTTCATGTGAAAAAAACGAATTATTTTACGCAGTATGTAAAAGAAACCTCTTTATTAATATGCCCATAGAGGTTTGCATATATTGCAATAAACCTGAAGCTCAACAAATATTCAACCAACTGTTGGAGAAAAAAAAAAATTGAGGAGTCTTAAGACCAATATATTTTTATTTTCTATTGTATATATATATTTTTTTTCATCAATTCCATTTGAACAATTTAAAAAAATAAAGGGTTGAAAAAAAAATTGTTTGTCTCTCATACAATTTTTTTTATATTAGAATAGAAAGAGATTTAAAAAAAATAATGATTTAAAAACAAACTTATGTGGGGAAGGTCAGTAACACTCTCCTTTTCATATAATGAATATGAGAGAGGTCACTGGTATACCTACCTGCTTTGGGTGGCCGGAGGGTTATCCATCTCACTAAAAAATTAATTATCGTTTTTTTTTTTCAATAAATTAAAGAAATAGAAAGTATACTTAAAAGATTACAGTATTAACAATGCTAAATTAATCAATTTGCCTAGCGTCCACCACTTTACAAAATGTTAGAGATTTCATATAGATTATAGATTATAGAACAAATGCTGTGGTGGGCTATGGATAAAAAAGCCCACAAGTATTGATTTTATTCAAGACTCGGAAAAAAAGGCAGTAAAAACAAAAACAAAATATACATTGTTTTCCTAATTAAATAGAGATCGTATAAAAAAAACTTTGTAGAAAGTGATGGAGCTGCCAATAATTTTTTTAGTTAAAAAAAAAACAGATAAATATAAATCTTAAATAAAAGGATTGAGAATAACGGCTGGATTTTTTACGTTTTCTTTTTTAGATAGCGGGTAAAGCAGCCAAACAAGTTTATTTTTCTAAAATAATTCTTTATTACTAACCAAGCTTTCGATACTTTTTTGTATCTTCTTCAGGGCTAAAATTATATAAGTTAAAATTATAAAATTACAAAATTGTGACTTACTTGTAAGTGAATTATTTAAAATAAAAACTGCATAGATAGGTATAAAATTTGTATACCGACTATAAAGTTAGAATTGTAAAGTTTTTTTTGAAAAATTTTTTGTTGTTAAAACAAAGTCTTTTGTTATAGGTAAATTTTGTGCTATCTATGTTTAATTTTTAGTTTTTTATTTCTGGTTTTTTTAATAGTTAAGGTAAAGGTTATAATTACGGGTTTATTTTTTAAATTGTTAAAATATATGAATATATGGACCTTAAATCTTGAATATCTGTTCTTTTGTTCATTGAATTTTTTTCTTTGTTAATTTCAACCATCTCAAGTCTTTTGTTGAAATTTGTTTGTTGGTGTGAAATTTTAGCTTCATTGGAATTTATATTGTATCCTGTTATATAAGAATGTTCACTAATAGCTGATGAGTCTTTTTTTAATCTGATGTCACTTTTGTGTCCAGAAATTCTATTTTTTAAATTTTGTTTAGTTTGGCCTATGTATATCTTATCACAATTATTGCATGGAATGGAATATACGATATTTGATTTATTTAGATTTGATGTTTGATCTTTTAATTTAGAATAGAGTTTATCAATAGGTTTTATATTTTTATTAGCAATCTTAACATTTTCATTACTAAATATTTTTTTAATTTGAGGATTAAGTTGTTTTATGTATGGTATAGAACAATAAAAAATATTATTGTTTATATTATTATTGATGTTTTCTTGTTGATTATTAATGATATTATTATACCTATTATTATTATTGAAAATAATTTTATTCAAAAATTGTTGAGTATATGAATTATCCAAAAGTATATTTTTTTATTTAATGAGATTGTTCTGAAATAATGTTGGATGAACTAATTTTTGAATTCTATTTTTTTTTTCATTCCTAATATCAAATTAACTTTCATTTGATTACTGTGAAAACAAGATTTATGTTCCATATATTTTAACAATTTAAAAAGTAAACCCGTAATTATAACCTTTACCTTAACTATTAAAAAAACCAGAAATAAAAAACTAAAAATTAAACATAGATAGCACAAAATTTACCTATAACAAAAGACTTTGTTTTAACAACAAAAAATTTTTCAAAAAAAACTTTACAATTCTAACTTTATAGTCGTTATACAAATTTTATACCTATCTATGCAGTTTTTATTTTGAATAATTCACTTACAAGTAAGTTACAATTTTGTAATTTTATAATTTTAACTTATATAATTTTAGCTCTGAAGAAGATACAAAAAAGTATCGAAAGCTTGGTTAGTAATAAAGAATTATTTTAGAAAAATAAACTTGTTTGGCTGCTTTACCCGCTATCTAAAGAAGAAAACATAAATCTTGAAATTGCCAGTTCAGATACAACCCGCACTCATGTTTGGATGGGCCACCTGCACATACATCAAAAGAAAAACAAGATGTCTACTTGCAAGAATCGGTACAAATCTTGTTTTTCGATGTAGGTTGAAACAAGAAATTCAAATGAGCCTTTTAAACTTTAAAAACCCCAGTTGTAAACTGATCTTGAAAAAAAAGTCATAACTCCAATTTCACAAAAAAAAAAAAACAGCAAGTATTCCATAAAATACAACCCACAAAAAAATTAAGAATCGGCTAGAATGAAGGTACTTTCAAACTTTAAAAAACCCAATTGTAAACAAATTATTCGAGAAAATGGGTATAGTACCATTGCCTGTCAGTAGGTTATTTTACCCCATAAATTTAATTAATTGTCTGTATACTTCAAAGCAAATGGGTTAAGATTTATGAACCGGGTCGAAAGTTTGCTGAAAATACTGAGAAGGGTTTGTTTTTGCTTGCGTGAATTTAAAGGTTATACCTTAATTCGTTCTATTTTAAAACCAAAATAAAACGCACAAGAGTGGACTGTATATAGAATATTTATTACTGGTTCGACGGATACAGATATTTGGCCATTTGGGGCAAAAG